TATCGTGACAACCCTAATATATATATATATATATTAGCCAAAATATATATATATATTTATATATATATATATTGATTAATATGTCGATTATTTTTTCAATGAATCAAATAATGATCAGATCAGCCAAAGGTTCCTTTAAGAAAATTATTTACGAAATTAAACCAGGTGAAACAGAAACAGACAGACAAAACTTTTTTTTTTATCTTAAAGGCAAAATGGTTAAATTTTTCTTGTCTTGGTATAATTCCTGCTCTAAGTGTGTCTCTCTGTCGGCTAAAGGCACATTTTAGTGGCCCTATACTCCAGTTAACAATTAATCAATAACTAAATTAGTTGATGATTATTTAAATAATCCATTAATATGAATAATTGTTTAATCCATAGATAAAATACATTAAATGTGAGACACAGAGTAACTACAGCCCAGATGTACAACTTGTTTCGTGAAGTTAATATTTTAAATGCTCAGTGTCAGTTCCTCTGATAGTTCCAGTGCTCATGTAAAACGATACATTTATTTGCCGGCCCTTGAATGTATTATTTTCCATGATACAGAGAGAGCATATTGGACAAAAAAATAAGAGTACGATTTACCTCTGTTTACCTCTGCACAGTTCTATATCCTCAAAATTAAACAGAGGATAAATTCCCATATAACAGACATTTAGACTATATTTGGTTAAATAGGCTCTGTCTTAGTGTTATGTGCTTCGGGCACATTATGATTTTTGTCCATCTCTTTTCTTTGTTTTTTTATAAACTTTAGTTGAAGGATCTTTTGTTAATATATTTTAGGATTCTTTTAGTAAATTAATTATGTTAATTTGTGGTGCTGTCGTCCCCCTATAAATAGGCTGGCCTTCAGCACGTTAACGCGTTCCTTTCGCGTTCCTTTCCAACCTCGTTTTGGACGCCGCTTTCCACCTGCTCATTTGCTCCATCGTGCGCGGTGCGCACTTGTCTTGTCGCTGCGGCCTGCAGCGGACGTTCCAGCCTGCCATGTGGTATTTTTGTTGACTTTTTCTTACTTTTTTTCTTGAGGTTTTGGCCTGGCGGGACCGGTAGTCAAAACCTCGAGAAAAAAGTAAGAAAAAGTTAACAAAAATACCACATGGCAGGCTGGAACGTCCGCTGCAGGCCGCAGCGACAAGACAAGTGCGCACCGCGCACGATGGAGCAAATGAAGCAGGTGGAAAGCGGCGTCCAAAAACGAGGTTGGAAAGGAACGCGAAAGGAACGCGTTAACGTGCTGAAGGCCAGCCTATTTATAGGCGGACAACAGCACCACAAATTAACATAATTAACTTACTAAAAGAATCCTAAANCCTTGAGGTTCATGATGCCTGAACCTCCATCACTCTGTTGACATCATCTGCTTCATCTGTGTCCTGTGGAAATTAGACAATGAATAATTATTGTCAGACTAAATTCTCTTTAGTCTCCCTGGTTTTCCTCTCAATATCTTCAATAAACACTATGTTAGAAACAGCAGTAGTGGATGAGCTCCTGTGGACATTAAACAATCAAGAAATATGCTGATGTTGCTCCTCTGACTGATGCTTAAAATTTGAAAAGTTTTAGGAGGATATTTCTTTCATTACCCAGCCCACTTTACAGCAGCATCATTTTTAGGTTCTCTTCAAGTCAAATATCAAGTTTAACAACCATACATTAAAATTATTGCTTTAAGGAAATCAAGCAATATAATTTGCTTTGCTAATGATCAAAAAATCATTTTAACCAACAGTGTAACTTTAAATGTATGAATAAAAACTGAAATAAAAGTATCCAATTTCTGTATCAAGCATTTTAAAAAAATTTTACACATTGAATATAAACAAGCTTACCTTCTTCTCTTGTTTGTTGGATAATCTAAACCAGCTAAAAGAATAAAAATAACGTCAACAAACAAACAGCAGAGACCAGCAGGTCTGCAGCTCAAAGAATCAACTCATAGAAAAATGAGTCTCACCACTGAAAGATGCAGACTGCACTGCAGAACATTATGATCCCCAGGATCTTCAATATAACATAGAGACTGACTCCTGGCACCAGATTAAAGAAATGTTTGATAGATGTAGGATTTTTTATGCAAAGAATAAAAATGAAACATTAAGAGAAAAACTTCCGTAAAAGTTCAAAAAATATTCACTGGACCTGGTTTTCAAGATTTTAAGACGTTTTGCCACCTCTCCAGGAAGCTTTCTCAATTCTTTCTCAATTGAGAAAGCTTCCTGGAGAGGTGGCGAAACGTCTTAAAATCTTGAAAACCAAGTCCAATGGATATTTTTTGAACTTTTACGGAATGACTATGACCTTGATGACTGGGAATCTTCATCAGGAAGAGAAAAACTAAGACTCACTTGCAATATTTTTTTTAGCTTAAAATATTTTACATTTGAATGATTCAACAACTCAACTTTTGAACTGTTTTCAAAATTTAACACAAAAGGCCCTTAGATTAGATACATTTAACTTTCTGGGCATATAAATGTGGA